GACATGGGGCTTGAACCCACAAACCATGAGATCATAACCTGAGCCAAAGTCGGACACTCAACCGACTGAGCCACCCACGTGCCTTTTTTGTTTTCTTAGAGTTTATTTATTCAAGTAATCTCTACACCCAACGTGGGGCTTGAACTCATGACCCTGAGACAGAGTCGCAAGCTCCTCTGACTGAGCCAGCCGGGCATCCCTGGGATTTTCAGTCCTACAGTAAATGGCCCCAATTTGCGTGTCTCTTTAAGACTCAGGTCGGCTTCGAAATTTTCTTTTGTTCTCACCCATACTGCCAGGTTGTCAGCAGGTTGTAAACCAGGTATGACAGCCAGGTTCTTACTCCCTATTGCTGGCTGGTTGTGGGCCCCTTCTAGTAACTTCCCACCACGTCCCTCCCATTCCCTGTTGTGGACCCAGGAAACCAAGTTACTGAAGCTATATGTAAAACAAAAGCTTTGGGCTTTAGTACAAGTACTCTGAAACAGTTATTTCAGCATTTTCTTCTTGATTGGTGGTTTGAGTTTACAGAGCTGCAGTTTCTGGAAATTTGAAACCAACCTGGACGCCTCTCTGGATGACCTTGGGCAAATTACTTGAACGCTCTGGTCCTTGGTTTCCTCATCTGGAAATGGGGATGCCCACGCTTCCAGGCGGTCATGAGGTTTGAAAAGTGCTGAAGCACAGGAAGGGCCAGCTGTGCGTGTCATGTACTCAGCGAATGAGGCTGTAATCGGTGTGGGGTTCGGGCCTCCTGGGCGGGACCTGTGCCATTCCCAGCACCCCCATCCCCACCCTCCAGCAGATGGACTCCCCTGGGTTCTCTGGGGAGCCATTCTGTCCATCTTACGTGACACGGGTGGTCTGGCAGCAAATACAGCTCCCAAGGCAGCTCATTATTATTGGTCCTCAAATAGAATTTAATAAATAGACCAACACAGTAAGCATTTGGAGAACGATTCCAAGAATATCTCAGAAACATCGCATCTTCAACACGCGCTTGGATGAAGCCACAACAACAAACGGAGGAGCGCTTGGCCTTGCAGACCAGCTACTCTGATTCAGGAAAAAAAGAAGAAGATTGCCATGGAGCTTAATGATCCTGCCATTTGATTCGGCATCGGCTTTATAGGAACATATGCCGTGGTGGCAATTAGGCCCGTGGCTCTGGAAGGTGCAAACTCCGGAACACCATTCAGGAGCTGGGGTTGGGGGCCCACAGGTTCTAGGCTCAGCAGCCAAAAAAATTCAGTCTCTCACACAGGGGCACACACTCAGAAACCGGTACCTTTGGCTTCTCCTGCCTAAGCAGGAGACGTTTAGAATAACGATAGGGACGGATGATTCCCTAAGGGGAGAACGTTCTTTCAAAATACGTTAAGCCCACATTTACCTGTTCATAAACACTCCCTCCCATATGCATTTTGAGTAATGCTTCTGTGTTCAGAAAGCGCCACCAGGCACTCTTGCGCTAAATAGAGGAGTTCTATGGGAGAAGGAGGCGGGCCTGGTGATCCCTGCTCTACGGGAGGCGGGGGGGGATGGAGTCCTGGGGGAGCAAACGACTGGTCCACATTCCTCACCAGGGAGGAACTAAAATAACTTAGTTTTAAGGAGTTAGCCTGGCCAAATCCCCCACGTCAACAAGCTTAGGACATTGTTCTTGTTGCTGCTGTTTTGGTAGGGGGTGGTCATATGGGGATTTTGCTGCAGCGATAATAATCTTCGGAATATCCTTGTGGTCCCGGGGTTCTGACAACACTCACAGGCCCCGTAACATGGCCTGACTGGCAACTCGGCCTCACCGGCCGCCTTGTGGTGGAGGAGACGTTGCCCTTCCTGTCCTGATCTCAGACACCCTCTTGCCCACCCCCTCCGCGCCCCCCATCCCAGGGCTGGGCAGCCCCTTCCCCACCCTTGTGCTTGCCTCCAGCAGCGTGACCGTGATCATGAACCAGGGCGGGGGGCAGCAGGTGTAGCTGTCGTAGTACCACTTCCGGTCAATCTCCCGGGGCAGGGTCTCGTAGGCCACGTGGCGGATGAGCCGCTGGGAGAGGTTCAGCCCTTTCTCCTCCAGCAGGGCCTTGCTGCAGAGTCGGCGGTTGCCCTGCAGGATGGCCTGGCGGAAGCTGTTGGACCGCTTGTTGCTCATCTGCGTGGGAAACAGGGCGGGGAGGAAGGGCTCAGAACTGGGGTCTCGGGGTCTCAGCACGTACCTTGGACCGACCAGGCCTCATCCCACCTTTCTCTTTCTTCTACACTGGGGTCCCACGTGGCAGATGTTCTAAAGCAACTTGTTTTGGGCTCCTCGGATATTCTTAACTAGTCTACCTGTTAGATAAGGACGGTGAACATCCTCATTCTACAAAGTCAGAGAGAGGTTTAGGAGTCCAAGTTCAAACTCAGAACCTGTACCCATGATCACCGTACCTTCCTTCCACCCACCTACCCATCATCCATCCGTCACAAGTGAGTGTCAACACATTGCCAGGCACAGAGGCCACAATGGTGCTTAAGACAAATAAGAAACCAGCAATCGCGGCTCAGCATGAAGGCTGCTGGGGGTGCACGCAGGAGGCAGCCCAGCCCTGTCCCACGGTGGTCAGGGAGGGCTTTCTCGAGGAGGGGGTAACTGAGTGAGAACTGAAGGATGAGAAGGAGCTCGAGTCCTCAGAGATGCCAGCTTCGGAAGAGGTGGGCAGCCCTGGTGAGGTGGACCAGTTTGCAGAGAGGTCTCTAGAACGAGAACCCAGAGCTGTGGTTGTGGAAGGTCATCACTCCTGAGTGCCTGGAACGCTTGGTGTGCCAAAGGACTGGTCATAGAGCCTTGTCTGAGGACCGGCCCTACCGTCCGCAGCCTCAGGCTGCCCGATGCATCCTCACTGGAGTCCTGGCGGCCTCGCTCTGTGGTCAGCCTGACTCCCAGAAACCAGGCGGCCGGCCTTGCTGACTTCTAGGCTCCTGGGGCCTCTGTGGCGTCCCACCCGTCCTCCACGACCACACTCCAGATCCTTCTTACGGGGAGATAAAACTCTCCCACCCCCAGTACCCCCACTGGGTAGCTGGGGTGGGGGTTATCAACATATTCCTGGGACGGTGGCCCTGTCAGGGAACATTTGGCTAAACCTGATGGCAGAAGCCCAGAGAGGGCTGGCTGGTGAACCAGGCCAGACCAAGGCACAGGGGTTTAAGGTAGAATGAGCCTCTGTCTGCAGCACCCCTGCTCCATTCCCGGGTTCCATGGTCTTTCGCTTTCAAAATCTGGCTTAAAGCTCACCCCCTCCAGGAGGCCTTTCCAGATGAACCCCTCCCACTGATCCCCTATTCTCATCCTCTCCATGCCTACAAAGCTCGGATCTGGTTCCTCTCGCTGGTGCAGGAGTTCTGTAAATGGAGGCAATCTTGGGGCTTCGTGTTCACTGCACACCCGAGACAGGATCACGTTGTCAAACTGTTTTGTAGCCCCGTTACCATCCTCTCTCCCAACCCCCAAGTGGGCACAGCACACATACTCACAGCACACCCACAGCCACACCCTGAAGCCGGGCAACGTGGGCTCGGCACGAGCACTGCGCACACACACTCGCCATTCGCCCGCACCCTTGATGTGTCTAGGGCCACCCCGCATCTCAGGCCTCATGGAGCTTACAAGCAGAGGCACATGTGAATTATTCGGTGCACAGCATTATCCTCACGTTACGAAGATGGGGACTAAAGCTTGGAGGTGAGTAATTTTCCCAAACACCAGGATTTTCTCCAAAGAGTCAGGATTCAAATCCAGCTACATCTGACTCCAGAGTCCATTTTGTGCCAGTTAGATAAGGGAGCTGCTTCTTCCAGGTGGATGAACCCATTCTAGGCCTTGGTGAACAAAACCCAGGCCGGATTGCAGTCCCCATTCACCTCACTGGCAGGCATCCTTGTACAGTACACAAGCTGCACACCTGTACACGACAACCCTGGCCACCCAGGTGTAATGCAACGTGGTCTGTGCTAGAAGAGAGGCCTGGGCAAAGCACTGTGGGGGCTCTGGATAAGGCGGGTTCATTCTACCTGGGTTGGGTTGGGGAAGGGCCCACAAAGGATGCAGGCGGGTTTAGCTGGTAAAGGAACATTAGAGATAACAAAATCTTTCTAATACTCCAGGTTATTTAATCCTCGCAACAATCCTGAAGAGGGAAGGTATCCTTTGGCTTCATTTTACAAATGAGAAAACACAGGCTCAGAGGATCTTTCTCAGTGAGTGGCAAAGGCAGGGGCAGGAGCAGGACCCAGGTCCTCTCTGGGCACGCTGCCTTACCCAGAGCTCCCCTCCTGGCCGAGCCCCCCCTTAGTCCCGGTCTCCAGGCAGCCCTGCTCACACAAATCCAGGCTCTGGCTGGCTGCTCCGGCTTACAGCGTGAACACAGAAATCCTGACAGCAACAAGCAATCTGCCGTTGGGGTTCACGCAGAAGACCCACAGATCCTCGGCTGGAGAGAAGCATTGCGTGGGCCCAGCCAAGCCTTCCCTCTGGCTTGAGACTGAGCAGGGCATGTGGCAGTCGTGCTGGCACTCCGGGTGTGGATGTGGATGGGCCCACGCAGGACTGGCCCGGGCCACTGCTGGGCTCCAGGTCACAGGGCTCACCCCCACCACCCATCCCGTGAATCCTGACTCCTCCATTTAGCTCAGCTCCGTCCCCCACCCTCTCAGAGGTCTGCTTTCTGGCTCCACTCTGAACGGCCCTAAAAACCCTACAGCTGCTCCCTGCAATCATGCTACCCTCCGAGCAAAGGCAGGTCTCCATCACCAGGCAATTAAAATAGCCCCAAAGCCTGGACACCCACGTCAGAGAGCTCACCAGGCCCAATGGCAGGCACGGGCAGTACTGACCCCCCATCACCGGTGCCTTTGAATTCTAGGAGCCTGGGGGGCTTCGCACGAGTCGTTTCACTCTTGCCCTTCCACGGATGGCAAGAAAAGGGGTGACTATCTTCGCTTCACCAACAGGGAAACCGGGAGGAGGCTTCTGGCCTTGTACTGACCCAGCTAGTTCATACAGCTTCTACTCATGTCCTGTCCATCTGCATCCCTGCTGGGATGCTTCCTGCTAAGCCCCCCTGAACTCCATTCCAACCCCACCACAGTGGCCCCCATGACAGCAAAGCAGTACCTCCTACTGAAGGAGAAGTCTCTACTCCAAGACACTGGACCAGTGGGCAGGGCTCACAGGCCGCCTGTCTCCAGCCCCTCCAACTACCCAGGACGGTAGGTACCCAGCCAGCAGGTCTGACGAGGTCTGGCCTTCACCCGAGTGCCCCCTTGCTCTCAGCATCCACTCTCCAGCTCTTCTTCTTCCAATGATAACCTCCCACTTCCTACTCCTAGCCCTTCCTTTCCGTGGAGCTGACCCCACCCCCAGCTCCATGGGTGGGCACCGATTGGCCTACGTCAATCAACACATCCCACTGACCCAATCTAGGCCAATAGGCGGGAGGAAATCCCAAGCCTTGTGCGGGAACAGAGGAGTCCCTCTCGTCCTCTGCATGGTGAGGGCCTGAGGGTGTAAGGGCTGGAACAGCTGCAGCCACTTTGCTGCCACACGGAGAGTCTGGAACTGCCAGGGGCTTCTTTGAGTATGGGCTGACGCTGCAGAAGGCAGAACCGAGTGACAATGAGAAACCAGGTCCTCAGAGATGTCCTTCCACCTTCTGAAGCCTGGACTTTTTCAATGTTGCAAGTTAACAGTTCCCTTTAGTTGCCCAAAAAGATCTTGTTTTGTTTTGTTTTCTGAGAGGGAGAGGGCGCAAGTGAGCAAGGGGGCAGAGAGAGAGAATCCCACAAGGGGGCAGAGAGACAGAGGGAGAGGGAGAGACAGAATATCCCATGTAGGCTCCACACTGTCAGCACGGAGTCGGCAGCGAGGCTTGAGCTAATGAAACCATGAGATCATGACCTGAGCCAAAGTTGGATGCTTAACCGACTGAGCCACCCAGGACCACCCCTGGTCTTCTAAGCCATACACCCCAAACAGGTCCCTCCCAGCAGCGAGAGCCCCAGAGTGCTCACCAGGTTGACAAAATCCTGGTAGCCGATCTGCCCATCCGCCTGGCTGTCGGCGAGAGCCAGGAGCACCTCCCGTTTGTGCGGGTCCAGCTTGGAGCTGTGGCTCTCCAGGAGGCTCCGGAACTTGCCTGTGCTGATGTAGCCTGTGTTCCCAGGGTCAAACTGAGGGAGAAGCACACATAGCAGTGGGGTCGGTGGGGCCCTGCAGGTGTCCCATCTCCATCCCCATGCACGGGCTCCTGTCCCCAGCCCTCTGCCAACAGAGGCCCAGGACGCCTCTGGGATATTTCCAAGGCCCCCAGAGGAAACATCCAAATAGGGCATGGACAACCACTTAAAAGTCCTAGAAGGTCCCAGAGCCCTTGGAGATCGCCCAACCCAACCATCTCGTGCATGGACAGGGAAACAGGCTCAGAGAGGTCAAGCTCCATCCTGTCCGTCCCTAATCCTGACCCTGGACAAGAGGAAAGCAAGAAGGAAAAGGCAAGAAGGGAAGGAAGATGAGGAACTTCTGGCGTGCGGGCCAGAGGGACTCCAGTGGGGAATGCTGAGGCCCCGGGCCTGGGGAGCAGGGGCCCAGCCTTGCAAATCCTCCTGCACTTGACTGCAGGCGCCTCTCACACCTGCATGCAGGCACACCTACAGCCATACACATGGGCTTCGGTGGGGGCTCCCCAGAGACCCCGTGCAGCTTTGCACTCCCCCTCCCAGGGGTCCCTTTCCACCGTCGTCTCCCAGGGAGACTCCCACTCACCCTGCCCAGCTACTCCGTGCAGTCTCGGGATTCCCCGGGACGCAGGCTGCTCTGGCTGGCCCCCTGCACATCGGACAGACCTCGGGCCGCCAGTCCACCCGGCCCTCCACTCTCCTCCCTGCACCTCTTCACCGGGCTGTTGGGTCACTGGCACCGGCCGCACCGCGTACCCCAGCGTTTAGCAGGAGTCGGGCATGATCGGCACTCAGCAAACATTTCTTGGGTGTATAAATAGCGGGTGTTGGGATGGACAGACAGGTACTGATCTTCCAGGGAAGGTATTATCGGTCTTCTTCGTCTCTCCCAGAGAAGCCCATAGCCTTTCCGTGCCTCTTCCACAGCCCCTCTTTGCTCACAGAGCCGCCCCGGGGTCCCCCGCACAGCACACGCCCTGCTAGAGAATGATGCCAACTGTCTGTCGCCACTGCTGAGAGCTGTCCTGTTCAGAGAGTGCTTCCCCACACGAATTCGCTGTGCCTACACACGCTGTGGTGAGCTGCTTAGATTTTAGAAAGCAAACAGTGGGCGTCCGTGTGTGCGCGACAGGGGAGTCCAGGTGACCAAACCCACATTTACTCCTTTTTTTTTCATTTTTAAATTTATTTATTTTGAGAGAGAGAGAGAGAAAAAGGGCGTGAGCAGGGGAGGAGCAGAGAGAGGGAGAGAGAATCTCAAGCAGGCTCCGTGCTGCCAGCACAAAGTCCGACGTGGGGCTCGATCCCACGACCCTGGGATCATGACCCGGGCCGAAATCAACAGTTGGAGGCTCAACCAACTGAGCCATCCAGGCACCTCTCCCCCTTTTCTAGATAAGGTCAACGGAGACTATTTTAGGAAGGCTGTTCCCGCGTGCAGTACCTCTAAGACAATCCAAGAGAAACAGCCCAGACTCACAAGTCATGGGCTATTTCAATTCTTCCCAGAACTCAACAAGGGAGGACATCTCTAAAGAGGTCTATTTAAAAATCTGCCTGTGTCCCCACCCTGAAGTCCAAATACCAGGTTCCAGGGATGACACCTATTTAGTTCACACCACTGAGTATTTCAGGAAACTCAGCCACTCCCTGCGCCACAAAGATCTTTAAGGATGAAAACACCTAACATTTGCTGACTGTCTCATGGGGCCAATACCTCTCTAAGCACTTTATGTGTATAATTTCTTTGACCCCCCCCCCCCATGACACCTTCCTGAAGGAGGTCCTATTACTATACTATCCCCATAGGACAGAGGAGGAAATAGAGGCACAGGGGGATGCACAGAGAGGTTAGACGATGTGCCTGGCAGGCGGTGTTCTCCACCCAGACAGTTTAGCAGCACTGGTGGCCACTGACCTTCAGCCTCCAGGGGCTGCCCTGGAGCAAAAGTGAAGGATCACTGTGGTGAGAGGAGGGGGAGGAGGGGGCTCTGGGGGTCTCACGGCCCCATCCTAAACAAAGATTTTGAAAGCAGGACAGAGCCTCACATAGCAACAGTTCTGACCTCCTTATTGCTCGGCTAGGAAAGTGAGGCCTGGAGAAGGAAAGTGGCAATGACAGGCAGCGAGGGTCTCCTTCTGGTGCCTGGGACCCCTTGCAACCCCAAGGGCTGATGCAGGACATCTGACTCGCCAGCCTGGCCTCACACAGGCCCCTTTGTGCTAGGTGGGCTGATGGTAGGGGTGAGGGGTGGAAGTTGAGAAGCAGCCCTGTGTCCTGGGAACATCCACTCTTCCCCACTGCCACCCGCTATGAGCATTGTGGTGGGGGGGGGGGCACTGATATGCTTATAGGATAGAGTCTCTCCTGACATGGTCTGGGGGGAGCACGCCCTCTCATTC